AGCCATTTCAGAATCACGCTTTGCCCATCACCCTTTTGGCTGGGTACCAATTCACTCAGAATTCCTTCAGACCTCACAGAGGGGATAGCAAAGCTGTCTACTATCAGAGCGCTGCCTCTCAGGTGTGCTGTCACAATACAGACCCTGCTCAGGACTCTTTCAGATCTGTGGGACCACACACCATGAATGGCACCTAAGCACCGAGTTCCTTCAAAGTGTTGAAAGGGCAACACAATCTAAAAGCAAGTCACACTGGAGTTGCTAAATAATTTTTTCAACATATGTGAGAGCTTTGGGAAAATGAAAGATGTCCTGAACTTTAATCCGTTCCATCTGATCTCCCCCTTCTGAGACTCCTACGCTTGGTTAATTACCTGTAGATTATTTCTCCTGGATTTCCACGTCCAATTGTTTCACATGCATTGACATATGTAATCTTTTTTTCATGCAGCACTGGCAGGCTCAGTGGTATCGTCCAAGTATCTTCTTTTAATTAGGATTTTCTGATACAAATAAGAATGCTCTCATCTACAAGAGCAGATAGAAAGTATTAGAAAGGTCACTGTGAAGAAAGAAAAGAAATTCCAGAAGCCTGATGGATCTCGTAATGCTATCTCTCTAAAAAACTCTGTTTTCTTGTTCTAAACACACGTGACAGAGCCCAGAGCACAAGTTAGGCACATTCTGGAGCAGTTTAAAGAAAGTTCTCTAGTAACACCTGTATCACACTTCGACAGCTTTCTTAGCTAACATCTACTAAGCAGAGCAGAAATTTCAAACACCAATGACGACCTCACACAGTATAGATCACAACCTCAGGCAACTCTCCCTTACATCTTATTGCAGTTAACTCCACCTGCTCTTAAACATTCTTCTTCTCTTTCTTTGAAGACAGAATTTGAGCTGATCTAAAAGGAGAAACAGATTGGCCACAGATTAAAAGGAATGCACTGCGTACAAGGGGAATTACATTCAGTTCTGGAAAATATAAAGTCTAAAAGACGTGATAAGGAACTTGAGATTTGATAAGCAGCTAGATAATAAAGCAGCAAGCATTATACCAGGTGATAATGGCCTTTTAATATCTAAAGGGTGGCTGTAAGAAAGAAGGGGACAGACAGACTCTTTGGCAGGGTCTGTTGTAACAGGAAAAGAGGAAATAATTTCCAACTACAGAGGGGGGATCTAGGCTGGATATAAGAAAAAGTTTTTCATAATAACAGTGTTGAGGCACTGGCACAAGTTGCCCGGAAAAGTATTGGACGCCCTACCCCTCAAGACACTCAAGATCAGGCTGAAGGGGCTCTGAGCACCCTGATCTAGTTGTAGGTGTCCCTGGTCACTGCAGGGGATTTGGACTAGATGACCTTAAAAGTCCCTTCCAACCCAAAAGATTCTGTGATTCTATGATATAGCAAGGTTCACACAAGAAACTCCTAATAATGTACACATGGGAAAGGCAGACTGGTATGCTGAAATGTACATTTTTAGGATATATAGCATGAAAGAACACATGAGAATATATGGAGCTTGAAAATGTGCTTAGCATATGGGTAAGATATTTAGCCAAGTGAAGTCCGCACAATAAAGATGTGATAGAAGCTGTCACCAATGGTAAAACACGAGATAAAAGGTATGTAAAGAGTAACTTCATCTTGGATCTTCTGGCTTCAGCTGGCTGACATATTTAACTACTGAGTTCTTTTCTGTCAACAGTAACAGCAAGAACTTGTTCCCACTATCCTGCCCTTCCCCCCCCCAAAAAAAAAAAATCAATAAAATCATTGGAATCATTGCAGAAGTAGTTTTCAATCAATTCAAGAAGTTGTAAATGCCAGCAAAAACATCACAGGCAAAACAATCAGTATTTTTTGCTTTGAGTTTGAAAAACATACAGTGGTAAGATTTGAGGGCCACATTTTCAATCAAAATGTCAGCGGAGCTGTTCAAAGCCAAGGGCACCATCTACTCTATGCCCTGAAGAACCTGCATTAATGTCAGTGTTTGTCTTTCCCCTGTGAAATTCCAGTTTGAGATGAGAGAATCCATAGAAAGATCTTGAAACCGCAGAGCGAGATGAATGCTGTGTTGTCGTGGTATTATACTTATGGTACACAAGACGGATAGAAGGGAAATGTATTCCCTAAGGCCCTGCAGTTAGTGAATGTTTTATTATTACTTTACATCTTCCAGGCATTTTCAAAAAAAATTAACTAATTGCTGCTCACAGTACACAGGAGGCAGAATGATATATAGCATTTGGAGTAAAAACCCGAGGCCATGCAAAATTTGTCTCATTTGATGTTTGCATTTAAATTTGAAACTCAGTCCAAACCCATGGACATTCTGAGTGTGAATCTTTCTGATGTATCGAAACACAAGAAACTAACATTCTTATTTGAAAACAAGTGGAAATAGCAAGATTTATAAGGTTTATGAGTTCTGCTTTGTTTAAATTCGAACACCAGAAGAAAACTTGCAGAGGAACATATTTATGTATTAACTGGAAGAAGAATGTTAACACAGGCCATTGTGAAACATGATTTTCATGTGTTTAGGTGAAATACTGAAGTCTCCCGAGTTATTCCTGTTACTTCCATTGCAGAGGCTGCACACAGACGCTGTTGGCAGCAGGTGTGTGGAATGTTTCTGGCTGCTTCTGCTTGAGAGAAAATCACTCTCTGGTTCCAGTAAATGGTGGATTGGTAGATTATGAAGTGTTTCATATAAACTCTTCACAAGGGAGTTTTATAAGTCTCAGAGGAGAAGCCAGACCATCATCTTCGCCCAGCAGCCTGTATTTTAAGGACTAAAACAAAACCTGAAGGTGAGAGGAAACCAGGCTCACCAGGCTTTATCACCAGGGGAAATGATCCTTCCAGGTCTGCAGTGAGATTTTACTTCTGCAAAGGGAAGGGGCAAGGCTGAGCCACAGGACCCCTCCCCTCGGGTTTTATTCCAGCACGTGGCTGGGACCAAGAGTGGGCCTTCCTCCTCCTTTACTGTCCTCATCTTTCTTAGCATTTCAGCCCTGTGCAGTGACAGAAGGAGGGGCAATGGGTACAAACTGCAACACTGGAAGCTTCATACAAACATGAGGAAGAATTCCTTTACTGTGAGGGTGACAGAGCACTGGAACAAGCTGCCCAGAAAGGTGGTGGAGTTCCCTTCTGTGAAGATACTCCAAACATGCCTGGATGCTTTCCTGTGGAACCCCACGTGCTTTAGCGGGGGTTTGGCCTAGGTGATCTCTGGAGGTCCCTTCCAACCCCTACAATTCTGTGATTCTTTCTCAGTCCGCGGGCGATGAGGAAGGCAGCAAAGTCGATGAGGGACACACGTTTTATTTCCCTCTCAACCCGACGAGCCAAGGGCAGGTGTAGGACAGCCAAGGCAGGCTGTGAGGAGCCTCCACCAACAACCAACCAAAGAGCAGCAACGGCAGCCCTACACGGCAGGGCTGAGACCCCCTTTTCCCGGGGGCGCCCCCCCGCCCTGCGTCCGGCGCCTCCGTCCCCATAAAGGAGGCGGGCAGGGCCGAGGAGGCCGCGCCGGCAGCGCAGAGGGAGGGAACGCGCTGAGGGGAAGAGCCGGCGCGCGTGGCGGGGAGGCGGCGCGGAGGGAGGGCAGGCCGGCTGCGGGAAGCGGGGCTCCGCGCTGGGACTGGTTCCTTCGCAGCCATTTTCTGTCCAACCAAACAGCCGATTTGCGGAGGGAGCCAACCAGGGCCGCACTGGAGGTTTGTGCCTGGCTCCGGCCAATGATTGGTAACCGGTTCCACTGCAGGCTCGAATGAAATGTCCGTCTCCCTCCTCGGGCCCCGGCGCCGCCGCCGCGCCGCCGCCGCGGGGACCAGGAAGTGGGGGGCGAGCAGCCCCCGGGCCCCGCCGCCATCGGCTGCTCGCCCGCCTCTTTGTGCGGCCGGAGGGAGCGGGGCCGCGCGGCCGGGGAGCGGAGCTGAGCAGAGCGGGCGGCGGGGGGAGAGAGAGAGAGAGAGAGAGAGAGGGAGGGAGAGAGGCGGGCGGGCGGGCGGACGGGGAGAGAAGCGAGGCGGCGGCGGCGGGGGGTCTCGGTGCGGCGGCTGCCCCCGTCTCGACGGGGAGGTGCCCCCCCGGTTCCGGCTCCATTTTGCGGCCTAGGCGGGGGGAGGCGGAGGCGGGAACGCGGTTGCCCCGCGGCCGTGTCCGCCGCGGGCCGGGCCCTAACGGCCGTGCTACTCCCGTGCAGCCTCGGGGTCCCCTTCCCGGCGGGGAGGAGGCTTGCCGGCGGGCACGGCGAGCGCCCCACGTTGTTGCGGCCCGGCCGCTGTGCCCCCCTCCCCGCGGTGCGGCGGGAGGCCCCGACACCACGCCCATGGCCGCCGCGCCCGGCCCGGCGTGGAGCGGAGCGGCCGCGCCGCCACCGTTGCGATCCGCGAAGGAACGGTGCGCGGGTGTGAAGCGCGGGGAGCGGCACTGGGATGGGGTGAGCGTGGCTGCCCGGCAGCGTGCTGCGGGGCCCCGGCCGGAGAGCGGGAGCTCTATCGGCTCGCTGCAGCGCTGCCCGGCGAGGTGGCTGACAATAAAGTTGCTGAACGCCTGGGAGCACGTTGTCTCGTTCCATCTGAAAGCAAGGCATGAAAGGTGACCCCCGACCAAGCGTGCGCTGGAGTGAGGAAATGTGCGTAAATAGGGTTTCCCTCCCGTGCCTCGCTGTGGATGCTGTTGCATCACTGAAGGGCGCGACATGAGGAAGAGAGATCGATCAGCCCGCCGGGCTGCGGACCGAGTCGGGTCGGCGGGTTAAACAGTAACACAGGGACGGTCGGGGACATGGAAGCCTGCCTTTGCTAGGTGTCTACCTTACAGTTGTCGTAGGTGCCGTGAGTGAGCAGGTCACCCTGTTCGCAGGTGTACTTCTGTGTGCCGGCTGCTGCTCTGTCCAGAAACTGCAGCTGGTGATCCTGGAAAGAGGTATATTGTGTGAGTTATTCATAGACAATCAGAGCAGGAAGGAAAACAATCACCTGTTCTAACCATAGTTCTGCAGCTATTAAGATATATGTAATTCTTTCACTTTGTGTTACAGATCCCAATGGAATTGTAATATGACAGAAGATCATAGAAAACCAGTAGGCTTCTAGCTTTACCAGTCTCTTTCAGACTTAGCCAAAAAGTTGTTGTTCTCATGTAAAAGTTATCTAGTGGACTTGGGTGAGTTTTGGGAGGGCAGCAACTTGAGTGATTCTTGGCAGGCAGAGGGGTGGATGCCTGGATTTCAGTCCTCAAATGGCATCCTTTGTGTTGAGTAACCTGTGCCTGTCTCACCGTTACATTGTTTGATTTAGATTGAAGTTGTCATCAATAAAAAATGCATTTAAAAAAATCTTAGTGCTTTGTTAAAAGGAGCCCAGACAAAGCAGTGGCAAAAAGTTAAGTGGAAGGTGCTGCTTTGGGCATTACTCACAGCCTGGCTTTAATTGACTTGCAGGAGTGCAGAAGTGATGTTTATGCATAATCATTAGCACAATATTCTTAACAATAAGGTCAGTGATTACTTGTATTTATTTATGTGGCCTATGGCGCTGCACTTTAATGCTAGGGAAGAATTCAGTTGTAATTCCCTGGGAGATCTGAGGTGGCTTAATCTGAATCGCTATCGTTGAGGTTTCTGCTTGTTTCTCATGCTCTACTTTGAGCAGGTGATTATATATAGGCTTGGCTGTTAGTGTTGACAGCCGTAAAGCTATATTTGAAAGAAGCCAGGAACATGGGATATTACTCTTCAGGCTTTAATATTTGACAGTTACAGCAGTTCAAAGTTCAGTACAGAACCTCTTATTTGTAGTAATGATTATGTGAAGGGAGACAGCGTGCAGAGCTCTTTATTTTTGGAGGCAGGAGGGAGATCCAGAATACTTGAAGATTCAAAACATGAAATGCTTTATAACTGTTTTGTAGTCATATCTGTTTTTGTTTGTCAAAAAAATGGGGGAGGAGGAAAAGAAGGAAGCTTGCAAGGCTCTCTTCAGCTGATGCTTTAAACTTGGCTTTTCAGGTGTGATTTTTGATACAGTATGTCAGAGAAATATGGAATTTGGAAAATGATGTTAGTGCCATGATGCTGGGAAAACATGCAAGCGGTCACAATGTATGCATGTGTGGAACAACCTTTATAAGTGATGTTGATAGTAGGAAAGAAATGATTAGCAAGTCTGAGGATTCTGCTGAAAATAGTCGTCTGTCCTGAACCAGCTTTGTATAAACTCCTCCTGGTCCTGCAGCTGGAGATGGAGAAACTTCTCAACACTTAACTGACGTATTGCCACAGTGAAGGAAAAGCATAACCAGTTCACCAATGAAAAAGACAGGGTTTGCTGCTTTAATAAACAAATAAGCTTAGTTTTTCACCGAAGATGCTAGGGAAACACCAAAAACCCCATATGGAAACACAGCATAGTGCTTACAGTCAGTGCTGCAGCAGGAAGGAGCTGCTGAGGCTGAGTCCTTTCAGTGCTGCCGCCTCGTTCAGCTCCTGCAAAAGCACCAACTCATGGCCCAGGACAGTAGGACTGGTGAGATAGGCCATGGTGTGACATTACTGCTGGTAATACTGATGGATGTGGGAATGTGGAAGGGTTGGGTGGGCCCTGCTGGGCTTTGGAAGGGAGAGATTTTCTCACAGCAGTCCAGGGGAAGGAGCCCAATACAGCCTGGATGCCAGTGAGTGTTAGTGAAGCTGTCAGGTCCTCTCAGCATCAATCTGCTGTTCCTGATGCCTTTCTGCTGTTGGGGAAAACGTTGTGTTGAGAGATTAGAGGAGCTGGAGATTGGGAGAGGCAGGGTGGCATCTGTTTGTGTTCTAGGCATGTGCCAAGGGGTTTTAGCTTTACATTTCTGCGGATGTGCTGGAGTGATGCCCTGTGCCCGTGGGTGCATTTACCAGGCAGCATTTCCTGCAGTGGGAGGCTTTGCTGCCAGGTGAGAATTCAGTGGAGATTCGGTTCATCAGAAATCACTGGCAATAAAAGGGAATTAATACTGTATTTTTCAATCAGAAATTTTCTCTGTAGGTACAGCGAGTGAGGGTGAAGAACTCAGATAAAACCTTGTTGTCCCCACTGGATGTCATGTGCTGCTTTTCAGGTTTACATCTTCTATGCTATGGGCAGGTGGCAAAATAAAACTGCGGTGGCTGATATAGTTAACTGCCTATACCTTTAGTTACCTTATCTGTCCTGCTTCTGTGGCAGCTACAAAGAAGGTACCTCATTCTTCAGTCTGTGGCATAGAATTTTCTGCTGTCCCTCATTTGAAGTAGCAGTTTGAGAGAGGGATGAGCTGCATAAATACTGCATGGTGCTTAGAGCCAAAGAGGTACATGGTTTCCCTTGAGAGACCAGTTTTGCAGACTAACTTTTGTCAGGTAATTCTGAAGACAAGCTCTTTCTAGCTTTTATTCCGTTTTTCCCTTGTATGCTGATGAAAGCATCAGACCCATCCTCTCAGCAAAAGCAGCTCAGGGTTGCATTGTTGCAGTTATCCTTTAGCAGAGTCACAGATACTGCTCTTTAGGAGAGCTTTTTAGATTAAGCAGGATGCAAGATTTACTTCAGGGTAGTGAGGATTTATCAGTTCTGTGTAGATGTATTCTAGGAACGGTGTGAGTTGTGGGCTGCTGACAGAAGCGTTTTTTTTGTAAGCATCCTCCAGAAGACTTCCTACGAGATGGTAGTGTAAAACTGTACATGCACTCACTTTCACTCATCATTGAGTTTTCTTTGATGTCTTTGATCTGAAGTGTTTCCCTTTCAAAATATTTCTGGTGTTACTTTCCCTGAGCTGTTAATTTGTATCTTCCTAGTAACGGTCTCCTTCATTAGAGGTACCAGGGACAGGCAGAATGCATGGTTGGCCTTGATCTGAAGGCTCTTTCCTAACTAAATGATTCTGTGATTCTCAGCGTTTTCTTAGAGCAAGTCCAGTGATACTGAGAGCTTTTCCTTTTTAAAAAGGCAATTAATTAGAAATGTTGTACTTCAAGCAGTATTTTCTCAGCGTTAGATTATGTGGTTATGTACTGTGGGCACTGGCTTGAGCAGGCTGTTAAATAAGCGGTGATCCAAGTGTCTTCTTGAGTTCTGACCATCTGAAGCTGAACCTGTAATACCTGCACAGGTAATTGTATTCACTGTGAGATAACTGAATTATCTTGTGCTCCTGCATTAGGGACTTGGCTGTGCAGAAAGGTGTTACACTGTCCATCCAACCACTGTGCTGTGGTTGTCTTAAAAACCTTACCTGCAGTCTAACCACGGAAATAATTTCAGTATGTATAAGGCTACCAGTGTCTCTTTGCTTTATCTGGGATAGATCTACCTGTTTCTTTTGTGCAAGCCTTTTCCTTTCAGTTCTACTGATCTAATTGCTGGCTTTGATTTGCAATGGTGATAAGATTCCACACACAAAAAAAACCCTTGCTAATTATCAGGTGACATGTAAGTAAAAATGGAAATGTGGACACAAGAGAAAAAAGGCAAAAATGGTACCTGAAAAATGCATTAATCTAATGAGGTCAAAAGTGCCAAGAGATGCAGTGGGCTTTGAGAAGAGATTCAAACAAGGATTGTCCTTTGAAGGAGAGTAGAGCTGATGAAAGCAATGGGAGTTTCCTAAGCAATGTTACTGGGACTTGGCTATGAGGATGGGGGGGCAGCTTGCAGAATGGGCGGGTGGAAGCAGATGAGCTATCCCACCATAGTATCTTGAAAGGCATGCTTCATAAAAGGCTGTGGGGGAACCTCAAGGCATTTCAGCTAGAACTGGGGCTGAATGAGTTTCATGCTTAGGATTTGTGGAGTCCATAATTCTGAGTTAAATTTGAACAGGGACCAGAGCTGAAACTGAGCTCTGGGAACAAGACTGCCAGAAAATCCCAAATTAATTTTGGAATCAGCTTTTGGGATTTAGCAGACTACAGAACATAACCACTTTGAATTACAGAAGGAAAAGAGTGGCATGGCTGTTCTGAGGAAAGGCAAAATCAGTTTTGGTGTTCTGGATGCTCAGGATTGAGGAACCTTTTCACAGTTGTTACAGTGAGCTGAGTAAGCAAACCCTGGACGCTGGGAAATTGAGAAGTGAAGTCTTCTTACAAAGAGCCTGCAGCACACAGACAAAGCAGTCTGCTGTGGCACCTGGCATGAGGAAGGTAAAGCTTAAGGCGTTGCCCTTCTTCAGATAGAGCTGCTGTGTGTGAAATGAAGCTGTTTTAAAAGCCCATGGGAAAGGATCAGAAGTACTTTACAGGAAGCAGTGGGCAGTGCTGTGCATTGGAGAAGAGGTAGAAGAGTTCTTCCTTTAACCAGCTCCTACGGCTGCATCCAGCTATGTAATGCTGCTGTGAATGCCTGCAGTGCTCAGGTTTCATGTGTGTCTGTGGCTGAGCATGGCACCGGATGTTGCTTCAACATTTGTAAGCAAAACCTCAGCCCTTGCAGCCTCAGAGCTCAGATTTGAGAGAGGTTTGGTTTCTCATATTTCTGGGAGGTGTAAAAATAGCACAGGACTGTCTCACCCTCACCCTCTTGTAGGCCAATGGGAGCTGCAGGCTCTTGTTGGCAGTGACCACAGCACAATCAAATGCCTTCCTCCCTCCCTTCCTCTGCTGCCTTTCAGGGCATAGAATGGGGATGACAGAGTGAGCAGGTAAAGAGCAAAATGTTATCAGAAGTGTGTGGCATCCACAGCCAAGAAAGTCTGAGGTGAAGGAAAACCTGATACTGTGCATGGAAAGGTGCTCAGAAATATCTCTAGGTTTCTGAGCCACTGTAGAAAGAATTCTGCACACGCTGGGAGCCCCTTGAGTTTTTGGGTTTTTTTTTGCATTGCTTCTGCTCTCTAGAAACAGCATCATTACAGTCTTACACAGGTGAAAACAAAAACAGAAAAGTGATATTTGAGATTTATGGGAACTAAATGCTCTGCAAAAGTTTATTTTCAAGGCATCAACGAGAAAAAAGTCAAGGTTGTTCAAATTCATGATGTTGCAGTTTAATCTGATTGCCTGGGATTTTGCTTTTTCATTCATAAAGATGCTTGGCCCTGGGGCCATGTCTGACCTGGGGATGGGCTATAGGTTGTCATTAAAAAGAAAAAGAAAAACCCCACAAATTAAAACCAAAACTGCTATTAGGAAGTGCTAACCTTTGTTTTAAATGGAATACATGAAGCTACCTCTCTTTAGCTAAGTTATTTAACTTAGCTTTTTTGTATGAATGAGATAGCTGCAAGAATTGCTCTTCAGTGTGTTGCATCTGAAGGAACAAATCAAAGCAATTAGTAAAGTGCAGCAACTATGAGAGTTCTCAAATAGCAAAATATTCAGGCTGTAACAATTGGTTCTCGTAGTTGTAGGTTTATTAAGTGCTGTTTTCCAGCTGTAGCTGCTCTTAGCTTATAACAAACGTACCTGAAAGCATTGCTTCTTCTGGTTTTAGATGGATGGTGATAGCTCCACGACGGATGCTTCTCAGTTAGGAATTGCTGGAGATTACATTGGTGGCAGTCACTACGTGATACAGCCTCACGATGGTAAGAAATGTAAATATTATTATTTTTGCCTCTATGTAATTTCATTTGAGTTCTTGTGAAGTTCTCTGCTATCGTTTCCAAGCTAAGAATTGATAATTGTTTGTATTTATGAATCCATTAAGGCTTCATCCAGTAAGGCATCCATTATGATGCCTTACTGTATAAAGCATTTTTCCTGCAGTCTAAAGGCAACTTTGGGAGTTATCAGTGTTGCTACTGAGTCCCTGGGGGTAATGACAAAAACCTTGCCTTTCTAGGAAAGAGTTTTTGTTTTGACATGACATTTCTGTGTATAATGAGATAAGTATGGTGCCAAACACACATGAAGGTACTGTGGTATTACATCTATCATCTGTGGGTTTGGGGTTTTTTTTTGTTTTCATTTTAGTTATTTCTACATTATTAATACGGTGGGCTTTCAAAAGTCATCAATCTTTCAGTTTAAGATTTTCAACTTGACTTATTGCCTGTTATCTATCAAATACAATTTCTGTTAACTTCTTCAGACACAGAAGACAGCATGAATGATCATGAAGATACAAATGGTTCAAAAGAGAGCTTTAGAGAACAAGATATCTATCTTCCAATTGCAAATGTGGCAAGGATAATGAAAAACGCCATACCCCAAACAGGAAAGGTATTACTCTCATCTTTAAACAAAATCTAGTACTGAGTTTTGTTCCTTTCTCTGAGTGAACTGAAGCTGGCAGAGCTGCATTTTCTGGACAGGAGGCAGTTGGGATCAAATCTTTTCTCTTTTTTAGGTTTCAGAAAGCTTTTAGTAATTTCCCTAATTACAGGGGCTGCAACAAGGCTCCTATAGGGCTTTCAAGGGCATTATTTTTCATAGATCTTTTCCCTGATGTTGTCAACGGGTCAAACTTGGTGACAATCCCACATCACTAAGAACTTTTTCTATGGAATTATGTCCTAAAAGAAGTGACTTTCTGCTTTGACTTGTTTCAAATGTGGAATAAGTGGAACTTTTTGGATGAAATAAGAATCCATTTCTCTTCCTGAAGGAAAGAGAACACTCAGGTCATTTTAGCATTTGGATATGGATATTCAGGCAATAGCAGACTAAGAGCCTGCTTTGTACCACATAGCAAGCAGGCCAGGTATTGGAAGACTTATTTTATTTCTTTCTTCTAAGAATAGACTCTTAAATCAATTCTGAGCTGGCAACAGGATAAGCATTTAAATGTTCTACCTGTTTATGTTAAAACTTTGCAGGGCTCCTATTACTTGATGCTTTAACTCCTAGCTAAGGCTGAATATTTTTTTTTTTTAACATTCCTTCAAATAGAAGCAAGGCATAATTTTCTTGCATCTGCTCATACTTTCACAGTGTTCAGGGCTTTCTGGAAATCTGGGTGTTACATTTTTATCTTTGCTGTGAAAAATTCTTCACTGGTCCATATTGTCATAAATTTTTAGCAATCAAGATGAGATTTTTCTCAAGAATTCAGCATATGGGATGCCAAGCTCTCTTGAAAAAAATCAGGGAGGTCTTTGTGAAAAGCTGCAAGGGAAGCTGTTGGCTGATGAGTATTTCTGAAAATCTGGCTCTATTCCTCTGAAAATATCAGAGGAATTGAAGATCCTGCGTAGTTACCACTTTGTTATTTTAAGGGGAATACAAACAGGTTCTTCTCATGTGAAGAATAAGGATCTTAATTATTATAATCCTTCAGTTGGCTCCTGTCAGCTTCCCTAATAATCTTGAGCAATGCTTGCTGTTATTTTAAGTGAGGCAAATTACTTTGTCCAGCTGAAAAGCAGAATCAAATGTATTTATTTCATTCTTGCCAGAGGCATGTTGTGTTTCTTCAGCTGAATTCTCATTTGGCAAATTTATACAGGAATATTAAAGCACTAGAGGAGCTTGCTGCTAGGCATGTATTTCAGTCCCTGAATTCAGTCAGGGTAAAAAAACCTCATCATGGTCAGGTTGGTGAGAATGTGCTGCAGTGGGTTGGAACTGTTGGTCTATTGAAAGGAAGATGTAAGTGGGCTGTGACTTCGTAATGAGCAGATTTGAAGGAGTGGGTAAGCAAATCCAGGCACAATATTGATATGTACCTGTATATATGAAACTTTATACAGAGCACAATTATGAGTTCAGAAAATGCTGACAGTTCTGTTGAAATAGTAAAGCTTCATTTAAAACCATTACAGCTGTGCTTACATAGAGTAGTGATGACATCCAGTGGCTATCTCACATACATACCTAAATGGCAGCATCACCCGATGGTGGGATGCTTCCTTTATTATCTATTACTATCTAACTTTCTTGGTTTTTTTTTTATTATTTATTTTTAGTTTTCTCAGATCTTCATCATTTTGTGATGCTTTTCCTCTCTAGATTGCTAAGGATGCAAAAGAATGTGTGCAAGAGTGTGTAAGTGAATTCATCAGCTTTATAACGTCAGAAGCAAGTGAGAGGTGTCACCAAGAGAAAAGAAAGACCATCAACGGGGAGGATATTCTCTTTGCCATGTCTACCTTGGGATTTGATAGCTATGTTGAGCCTCTGAAGTTATACCTCCAAAAATTCAGAGAGGTTGGTCTATACATCAATGTTTCCTCATTTATTTGTCCTGATTTTTTTATTCTGAGGTTTTTTTTTATCCTGACTTTTTATTCTGAGCCCTTTATTGGATTTCTGTAATGGCTGACTTGCACTGTATCTCACAGTAATTGTCAGGGAATAATGGGGACTAATGTAGCATTTTAAAACGTTTCAGAAGCTCTCAGGAGAAAAGAGTAAGCAAGCATTTTGATTAGACTTGCTGATTCCAAGTAGTTAAAGCTTCCTCCGAGTAACTTCTGTAATATATATGGAAGTAAAGCACTAAATTCTTTAAAAACACCTATTCAGAATACTGCATTTGATCTTTGGCTTCTCTCCATAAAACTGTACTGGATGGCATCCTCTGAGGATCTGGCCTAATGCCCGCTCTTTGGGCTTGGGATCTGAAAAAGACTTTTTTTCTCATGTCGGAATAATGATTTGAATGAAGGACTATTTATTGCAGTGGTATTCCAATTTGCTCTTTGTTACTGCTTGTCTGCTAATTTGCTTTCGATACTTTGTATCTGCTAGGTATGCGATCGAGGCATTTTCCTTTATCCTTTCTCTAGCAGAAAATGGCTTTTTTTCCCCCTTTCGGCAATTTAATTGGGATTTTTTTTTCCCACTTCCTCCTACCTGGAGACTAAAGAAAATTTTACTTCTTTATTCTATATTCTATCTACTTCAAAGTACAAGTTGTAATCAAACAAATCAAAGGCATTTTCATCCGATGACCTCTCTTCCTTAAATCTTGAATGAAGAAATTGTTCAGGGTCAAAATGATCATGGAAAGAGGCTTTACTGGCATGAGTGAAGCAGGGAGGTCTGAATTGGCACTGCTGTAGGAAGAGATGCTCTTCAGATGTTGTCTGTTCTGTAAATCCAAGTTTTTTCAATTAACAGGGTTAGGCTCACTAGCAGTATTTAATTTGCTGATAGCACTTGAAGCTTCCACTTCCCAGGAGGTCATTTGTTATGATGGACTGTGAGTAACAGGAGGTGAAATCTAGAAATTGAAGCACGGCTGTCTGCTGTCTTTTCCCACTTCCGTGTAGCAGTAACAACACTTTTGATGGCACAGGCACGTGCTTTAATTAAAGCAAGTGATGCCTATCTAGTTGTGGTACTTCTGGAGAAGTCTGAAGTGGATCTATTCTGCTCTTCTTCTGAAATGTCCATCTTTTGCAGATGTGTATGCCATGGTAGCAGAGTATTGTGATTACTTTTTTAAATAGTTTTGGGTGCCTTGGACAGTTCTGGCCATCAGTTTTAAGCCTTCATTCTGTATTCTGTCAGGTACTCCATGAAGGTTTCTGTTTTGTAGCTTTTATGTTTGTTCTACATCAAACAGTTGCACAGATTTATTTTTTTTTTTAATATGTTTTTAGTGTTTTTTCCTGCAGGTTCTTATGTAATAGTACAGATCATCAAACTTCATAATTAAAGAACTGCACACAGATGACTGGGAGCCTTGGCTTTCTGTGCTGATATCCTTTGTGGCTGCAGTCCTTGCTGTAGGGGAAGAAATCCAAATCTTGGTTTTAAATGTCAACCCTTTGCTGTATGATGATGGCACTTGAATATGGTTGGTGGGCAAAGGTTGTGCACTCACTGGTTCTGAGACTGTGATTCCATATACACGTGCTAGCTGCTGCTTCTGGATTGTTGCACATCTCTGACTTTGTGCAGAAGTAAACTTCTAGAACTACACAATACTAATTTTGCAGAGTTTTGGTTTCTGAGAAGTATGACTAAGATTAAAAAAAAATGCCCTTTACCTGTTCTTGTATTATGCACAGTCTTAAACACAAGTTTTGTAGGTCTTGGATTTCAAAGTCCAGCTCAACTTCCAAACCTTGGATTCTGCAGGCCGTCTCATGCCAAGAATGCACTAATGTGGATACCCATTTTTCTTCTGTCCAGGCAATGAAAGGAGAAAAGGGAATTGGGGGAACAGTTACAACTGGAGATGGTTTAAGTGAGGAGCTCACAGAAGAAGCATTTAGTAAGTAATACTCTTTAGTTGTTTTCGTTATCGTTACGAGTCTTCTAAAACAATGCGTCCTTTAGGACATGATAATTCTTAACCAAGGAAGAGATTCTGGGCCACTTGTGTTGTATCCATGATCCTCTGAGACTTCCATTTGAGAAGTCTGGAGGATACCCTCTGCTTTTCTGACTTATCCCAGTCAGAATTTATATCAAAATGAAGATGGTGGGAAATACTGACACAGTAGTAGTAACTCCTGTCAACTGTGGGAGACTTCTAAGCACACATACGTTAGTGCCAGTATTTTCCTCTATACTTAAGCATGGATTGTAATGACAGATGTAAGATTTTTTTGTTTGTTTGTTACGTGGGTTTCATTCTTTTAATTTACAATTAAGAGTTTACTATTTGGATTTCCTAATCTTTATCTGCATTGTCTTACGGAATAGCTCTTTTGGTTCAGAAGTGGTAAGGCACGAATCAGGCCCAATTCATTAACCTGGACTGCAGCTGAGATGCTTGTGGTCTGTTTTCTCTCTCTTTCTCACACACACACACACACACACACACACACACACACACACACAGAATTGTACAACTGAAAAAAAGATTACTATTCCATCTGTGGATCATCTGTCCCAATAAATCTGATACTGTATTATTATTATTATTATTACTATTATACCATTAAGTGGCAGAAGGCTGAAGATCTGTTCCTTGTCCCTTTTTCAAATAGCCCAGGCCTGGGAGGCTCAGAGTGCCCTATGAAATAAGCATTAATTTGCTGTGATTTGAAGAGAGCAGCTTTGGAAGAGAACAGTCAGTGTTGGCAGGATGCCCAGGGAGATGTTGCAGTAGCAGAAAGGCAGGGAGAGGGATTTCTTTGAAGTGAGTGATGGTGTCACGTGCTGCGGGCATTTCTTCTCTGTAGGGGTGCAGCTATGGATCCCTTCAGGGCTGTGGTCTCGCGGCAGCAGCAGTCATAGCTGTGCTGCTGCAGCATAGCCTGTAGTTCTTCCTTGTAGATCTGCACCACATCTGGGTCAGAGAGCTGGCATTAAGCTGTTCAACATATGTGGTGGAGGGTGCTGTGATTTTAAATCTGGCTAGATCTGTGGAGATCTTTAAAGCCTCAGTTAACTTGCCAACTTAAGCGTCTGAAAGTTAATACGATGAAGGAAAGCAAAAACAAGCTTCAGCTTTTGTATTGAAGCTGTTAGGATTACACTGTTTTGATATTTTTATGGGTTTTGCCTCTTGTACAGAGTGCTATGCTGTATAACAACTTAACTTACAACTTGGAAGCTTTACTTCCAGCTAACACTTGCAGCACGTAGTTACTCTGAATGTCACAGAGCTTACCGTTATGCATTACTGTAGGGGTGTGGCTTAGGGCATCATCCATGAATTTTCTTTATAAATGTCAGAAGTACTTTTTACTCGGTTCATTGGCCTCATCTTTCCTCTGTAAAATTCAGAGATAACCTGAAAGGCACGCTGAAGTCATGCAGCATAATGTCAACTGCCTCCACGTTAGAGCTTTTATAAAGTACCGCTTTTTCCCTGAGCATACACATGCACGAGGAACTCAAGTGCTAAATCTTATGTCTAAACAAACTCCAAATTCTCCAGATTTCTTAGAGTATTGAATGTTGGAGATTGGGTTTTTTTTTTTTTTTTTGATGGCCAGATGGCAAAATCCAGTCCTCAGTGTGCTGCTGTGTATGTTCTACCTCACATTCGTGTCTTACTTCTAGCTTATCCGATGCAAAATCCAGGTGAATTTAGGTTCTGAACTGCTGATGGAGATATGTAGCAGTGGTAATGAGCTTGGTGATGTAGCTGTCATGAGAGGAACTGTTCCACAGACCCAGAGCATGCCACAACTAAATGTTTTGTAGGTAATACACACTTCAAACAGGGCTCCATGTATCCTGTGGTTCTTGTCTAACTTCCTTAAAATGCTTTTTCTTTCAGCTAATCAGTTGCCAGCGGGCTTAATAACTACAGACGGCCAGCAGCAGAATGTTATGGTCTATACAACATCGTATCAGCAGGTACAGTATCCTATCATCTGTTCTCCCTTCTGCTGCAAAAATTCAAATGCTAACTCAGCTGCCTTCCTCTGAAAGGCAAAAACTGATGATATTTTTAGTACTTTGGCGGCTGTTGTGCCATCCCAGTGCTCTGACAACTCAAGGCTGCCGATGGTGATGCTGTTTCAAAACGTGTGAAGTTGAATGTAAGCTTCCATTTTCTTTCTCCAGATCTCCGGTGTTCAGCAAATTCAGTTCTCATGATTTGAAGAAAACTTTGGATCTGGGAACGCGAGATGCAGAAGCTGTGCAACTCTAATGAAAAGACAGTTTTAATGACTGGTGAAGAGATTTCTCTCTTTGTATATTAAATAGCTGTAATGTAGCTACCTGAAGCTTGACTAATTGAGGTATGAATTCAGACTCAAATCTTTTTCATGAATAATTTTAAAGAAACAAATTGGATTTTAAAGGTATTAAAGTATTTTTGTTTTGTACAAGAGTTTGTTGCTCTGTATAACTCCTGTATGCATTGTATATTGCAATTTATTACTGTCAGAGATTTGTAGACAGTTTCTTATTTTCATATTGAATCATGTTACTTTTGTAATTCAGGTAAACAGCTGGGTTAATTCATGTTTACCCTTTGAATAAAATGGTAAGGGTAAAGTTCATTTTTGAATGCAAGTTGCCTTTATTATAAAGATTGAGTTGGTCTTGGTTATGTAACTTGTCTTGCATGACAACCTCAGCTAACTTTAGATGTCATTATATTTATTGAAATTTTGAAAGGGACTTTTTCTCACAAAAGTGCAGCTCAGAGGCATTGCTACAACTGTTTTTTATGTAACTTGAAACTTAGAAGTAAATCAGAAACAAGCAACTCTCCTACGGTTAGAGACTTAGAGCTAGTCAACAGTGTTAATGCAAACACTGATGGTGTATGATGCAGGTCTTCATTTCATTCTTTTTCAGTCACTCCTTAGACTGATTTCGGTAAGTTTAAGGTGGTCTTTGTGCTACTGAAAATAGCTCTTCCTTTTTATGTATGGTTTTTAGTATCCAAAACTTAGAAATTCTACGGTAGTGGGGGGTGGGGGGGATTTTATAGAGACCTCATTTTAACTTTCTACTGAAATGTTTTCAGGTTGCTTGTGAGACTGTGGGAACTGAAATGTGTTAGCAGCTCTCTGTGTACAGCGTGTGTGTGAGCGCGTACGTGCGAGTGGCTGAAACTGGGACAAGCGGTACAAATCTGCAACGAATGCTAGACTTCAACTTTGCTGTCTCTTTTCTGGTTTTGCAATAAACTCTAACTAGAGAATGTAGTTCTGCATATTTAGCCAACTGTTCTTGGTAACATTGCTGTTTCTTTAATAGCTAGGTGGGTGATTTTGTTAGATGCCCTTCCTTAGCCTGTTAAGATAGGGGTGGTGGGTTTAGTAATAGCCTGCAATTTGGAACCTTCTGTTTTTTTCCTACTGCTTGCAAGAGACTAACGTGTAATTGTTATTTTTCCATTTACCTGTCATTAATTTAAACAGATCACACCTTGCCTTCATTGCCATACCATTTCTTGTTGGTAAACAAACAAGTAACCATTTAATATTGGAAAAATATCTCAACTGAGCCATCTCACAAGCCTGAAATAGTCAATTCTGTGCTACTCCAAAACTTCAATGTATGTGTGGATTTAAACAGTGTTCTTGCAAGCCAGCATGATGCTGGCAGGGCGTCTAGGGGAGGCACAGTGTATGCTGTGGCAGTCCAGGCAGATGTTGTGGGGTTTGTGGCAGTCTGCAGTTCTTCAGCAGCTACACCTCTAAACAAATGGAATTTTTCATTAGATGTACAGCTGGACAACACAGTCACTACAGGAGCCCCTTTGGTTTGTATTCAGTTTCTTTAAGGCCTCCATACCCTTTTTCCATTGCAAATTTGGCTGCAGAGCTGTGATTACTGCTAAGGAGAAGCTAGGGGTTTTGCAGCTGGATGTGTAGAAAGGGAGTGAAGGGTGTCTGACTCATTTGCTTGAGATCAATTGCATCTTTCTTGCTCTGCCTGCTCTTCTGTGAGCTTAGGTTAAGGAGTTCTCTTGAATTCATGGTTTATGAACTATCATCAGAGCAAAGGAGTCAATATTACTTTGTTTTGCTTTTCCTGTACTCCCTCTCACACCCCACCCCACTCCATGTGGTTGAGGGACAAAGCTGCATCAACCTTGTTCCATTCTCTTCCTGAAAATACAGCTGTGGAAGTAATTGTTTGTAGGGTGTTACAGTGCTGATAAAGTACATATGGCCTTACGTATGGAAATAATGGAGGGAACTTGTCTGAATTTGGATCAGTCAGTGGTAGTTAACACAACCACAACTCGGCCAGCCCTCTACATATTCTCACCTTCTTACTTGTCAGTGCTCATGATATAAACTACTTTTAAAGACTAAATGGTAGTAACCATTTCTGCTACATTCCATCTGTTTCTGTAGAATTGCAGTCTTTCTGGCTGTCCGAGTGTTTTGTTTGAACTAAAACAGCTCAGAACTGAGCTTGAGGTCAAGACAGCAGTGGCAGCCTATTCCAGAAGCTGAAAAAAAGGATTCTTGAAACAAATAGCAGTGATACTCAGAGACCTCTTTTCAAACAGTGACTTTCTCAGGTACCTCTCCATGACACAAATTTTTCTGCCTTAACTTAATGATCCTTGTGACGCTCATACAGTGGGCCCAGTACAAAAAAAGCACGGAAACAACATACCTGTAATCAAAATGCAGTCATAAGGAAAGCTAAGCTTGGAGTTCTTCCGTGCCCTGTTTCCATTGGATGTTCAGTGGAAGCTGTTGCTCTGCCTTTATCGATCTCGCTGATGTAAGCGTACGTCTTTGCTGTTCTATTTATTCCTTGGGTCTGGTCTTTGCTGCACGCTAAATGGGTGTTTGGGAAATGTGAGGTGGGACATCCCAAACACCAGCTGACCGTGCTTATCTGCCTTGTAGCCAAAAATCAGTGTGATGCTTTAGAAAGCTGTCCTCTTGAAACGCCTCGTAAATGTGCTGTGAATCGTGTCAGATAAGCAGATGGCCCCGCTGTTGTTCTGAGATGATGCCCCCACTAACATACCATAAGCAGCTATAGGTGCAGAAGGAAAGAGATCGATTCCTCTCTGGCCAGCAGCAGGAGGAGAACATATGGGTCACTGCACACGCACAGGAGCTGCCTCAATGCAGAACGACACTGAGCATAGGGGAAAGCCAAAGGCCTTTCCCCAGTGCCTTGCTGTCATGATGAGAGCTGGCAGCAGCCTTGCTTGTAGCTTAAAATTCTTCATTTTGTAGCGCTTTGGGTGTGATTAATGTTCCAGTTGTCATGCAGGCTTGCTGCTTCCATTCTATTTAAAGAAAGAAGACAACTTGCTTGTAAATTGCCACGTTCCCAGATCACGCAAGCCAGACTTTTTTCAATTTCAATTTGTACTGAATAAAATAATGGATTTTTTTCACTTAAACGTGAAGTGAATTTTCTTCTATTTGTAAATCAAAGAAGCCCATGTATCAATTCTGGGATGAATAATGCTGTAAAGAACTATTTTACATTGAGTCCAAGCAGTCCATAGGAAGAAGGTAAATGTTGATAATTCAAGTGATGGTTATGTTTATGCTCCCTTTTCTAAAAGGTTTGGTGGAATGAAGAGTGATGGTAGAAGGATGCCTCATTCAGAACATGGGCCCTTTACTCCTCCTTGAAATTCTCCTCCTTGAAAATAAGGTGTGGTCACTCACACTTTCACTTTTCAAAATGCTGAAAAACATTCATAGAGTAACAGATTTTAGAGTTGAAAAGGACCTCTGAGGGTCTAAATCCCCTGCAATGAACAGCACAACTGGATCAGGGTGCCCAGGGCCTTACCCAAATTATACTTAAGCAGTGGCATATTGATCTGTGTACCTATCGATTTGTGAATTGGCACGGTGAGGGACTGCGTGCCATTTCTGACCCTCTGGATGTAAAAATTTAATATGAAGCTCTATGGAAACACAGTGCAAATTCCACACTCATAACCACAGCCAAACCCCCTGGGGAGTGAGTGGTTTGCTTGTATGCACAACAGCCTCCACGTTGGTGCCAGCTGCAGCAAGCTTATTGAGTTGCAGTCTCCAGCGAGAGGCAGCACACAGCAGCTCAGAGGGAGACAGCAGTCCTGCTCTAAGAAACCTCCCAGGCAACCTGCCAGGGTCATTTCCTGCAATACCTTATTGCAGAATATGGGGCAATAGGATCCATTTATCAGGCGCAATGAGACACCTGATGTGCATTTGTATGAGAGAAAACTATTGAGGGTTTAAATCTGCTGGGGAGAGCAGCGCTCTGCAGGCTGATAATTGAATCCGTGTGCCTAAGACTGAATATGGTTCAGCTCCTCCAGGATCAGACAACAGCTGACTTTGGGACAGATCTCTGTAAAGGGGTTTGGCTTCTGGCTAACAAATCGCAGTGGGATGCGGCTCAGGACTCACCCCAAATGCACATCATTGACCCCACATCAGCTCCCATCGCTGGAGAGAAGAGCATCACACCAGGATATGTGGATTTGTTACTGAGGCACTCAACTCCTCTGCCCTGGCCATAAATCCAAGCCCAGGCAGATGCCTGAGTCCACTAATCCAAACCTCAATGGAGATGCAAGGCCACTTTCCCAACACTCTGGTGTGAGAAGGCTCTGACTGGAGACAGCTGGGATGAGCAAATGGGAGGGCTGACAAAAGGCTGTCAATTAGGTGACTTTTACCAAAAGATCAGTTATTCCAGAGCAACTTCAAGCTGGCATTGGACAAGTGACTTCCAGCTCACCCGCTGCTCTTTGACTTGTAGAGCCCTGGCTATGGGAGTCCATCATGCTCCGCACACACCAGCGCTCTGCACCCTGTTGGCTCTCCCAGGTGCATGTTCCTGCCATCTGCTCCTCTGCAGTCTGCCAGGAGTTGCATATTCAGGGTATCCATTATGACTGCCCGTTTAGGATTGCTACCAGGGGCTTGCAGAAAAATGCTCCCAAAACCTGCAATGGCTGAGATGTCAGGCACTGTGCAATCAGTCCCACTTGAGCCTCAAACTCTGCTTATAATTCCTTAAATTGGATAAAGGTGCATCAACTCAAGGAATGTACATATTAAGTCCTATTCTTACAGAGATCTTAGGGATATTAAGTACTAACAAAGTCTGCTAATCACAGAATCGCGGTGGCTGGAAGGGACCTCAAGGGGTCACTGAGTCTGACCCCCTGTCAAGGCAAGTACCCTATGATAGATTGCACAGGTAGGTATTCAGACAGGTCTTGAACGTCTCTGTAGGAAACTCCACAACTTCTCTGGGCAGCCTGTTCCAGAGCTCTGTCACCCACTGTATAAAAATTCTTCCGCACATTAGTACAGAACATTCTGTGTCCAAGTTTAGGCCATTGCTCCTTGTCTTATTGCTACACACAGAATCACAGAATCACAGAATCACCCGGGTTGGAAGGGACCTCAAGGATCATGTAGTTCCAACCCCCCTGCCTAGCAGGGCCACAAAACATACACATTCAGATCAGGTTGCCCAGGACCCCGTCCAACCTGGCCTTAAACACATCCAAGGACGGGGCATCCACAACCTCCCTGGGCAGCCCGTTCCAGGGCCTAACCACTCTCCTTGTAAAGAACTTCCCCCTAACATCCTACCTAAATCTTCCCTCCTTCAACTTGGATCCATTTCCCCTAGTCCTGCTGTTGTCAGCCCTTTTGAAGAGTTTACTCCCCTCCTGGGTGTAGGTTCCCTTCAGGTATTGATAGGCTGCAATGAGGTCACCCCGCAGCCTTCTCTTCTCCAGGCTGAACAAGCCCAACTCCCTCAGCCTGTCCTCATAGGGGAGGTGCTCCAGCCCCCTGATCATCTTAGTCGCCCTCCTCTGGACCCTTTCCAAAATCTCAATGTCTTTCTTGTACTGAGGGCTCCACACCTGGACACAGTACTCCAGATGGGGCCTCACAAGAGCCGAGTAGAGAGGGACGATCACCTCCCTGTCCCTGCTGACCACCCCTCTCCTGATGGAGCCCAGGATCCCATTTGCCTTTCGAGCTGCCAGAGCGCACTGCTGGCTCATGTTCAGTCTCTCGTCCATCAGGACCCCCAGGTCCTTCACCACTGAGAAGAGCCTGGCCTCATCCATTTGCCTCTAATCTCCCTTTAGATATTTATAAACGTTTATCAGATCCATGTTTATAATAGCTGAGATCAGGCTGCTGGCCATAGATCTGCATAGCTTTGCCAACAAGGCAACCTTTGCCTTTGGCAGCTATTACCTTGTGTATTTTCTTGGACTGAGGGCCACAACTTCCATTTATCTATCTCTCTTGCTTAAACCTTCTGAATGAATAAGATGCCTTCTACTTGCTATTTCATATACTGAGTTCTTACCTTGCAAATTATTTAAGGTCGTTCCTTAATAGGAAGGGAGCATAGATTCTAGAAAATAAAAAAAGAATTTGCCAATTCTATCAAGTAAGGATGTTAATATTTTTCATTAACGCTGTTGTTCCTTAAACAGAATTCTATTTAATCTGTATGAAATCTATATGAAAATTAGAATCATAGAATGGTCTGGGTTGAAAAGGACCACAATGATCATTGAGTTTCAAACCCCCTGCTATGTGCAGGGTTGCCAACCACCAGACCAGGCTGCCCAGAGCCACATCCAGCCTGGTCTTGAATGCCTCCAGGGATGGGGCATCCACAGCCTCCTTGGGCAACCTGTTCCAGTGAGTCACCATCCTGTGAGTGAAAAACTTCCTCCTAATATCTAACCTAAACCTCCCCTGTCACAGTTTAAAACCATTCCCCCTTGTCCCATCACTATCCACCCTCATAAACAGCCGTTCCCCTTCCTGTTCATACACACCCTTCAAGCACTGGAAGGCCACAATGAGGTCTCCCCAGAGCCTTCTCTTCTCCAAGCTAAACAAGCCCAGTTCCCTCAACCTTTCCTCATAGGAGAGGTGCTCCAGCCCTCTGATCATCTCTTAGTTGCCCTCCTCTGGACCTGCTCCAAGAGCTCCATGTTCTTGCTGTACCAGGGGCCCCAGGCCTGGATGCAGCACTCCAGATGGGGCCTCACAAGAGCTGAGTAGAGAGGGACAATCACCTCCCTCTCCCTGCTGGCCACCCCTTTTTTTAATGCAGCCCAGAACACAGTTGGCCTTTCCTGACTGAAGTCTGTGATACCAAGCCAAATCCCAACTCACTGATAAATCACACTTAAATTGCATCTATGGCTTTGACAGCGTTCTAAGATGGATGAACACGAGAGGATTTACGCACAACAGTAAATCTGCAGGACCATATAAAGTAACGCCAGGGTCCAGAAGAAAGCGAGAGGCAAGCCTGAGGAAACAGGATGGCACACACCCTATGGCGTATTTTAAGAACCACGTGGAAGCAATTTCCAATTGATTACTTTCACCTGCAGCTCACAGCGCAAATAATTCTCTCACCACTATGTACCATTTGGGACACACTGAAATTCTTCTATTTCCCTTTGAGGATACCATATCTGAGCCTTATTTTTCATTTTAAAGAGCTGCTATACCAACTCAGCAATGATGTCATATATTAAAAGCAGATGCTTGTGCAACGCAAGAGCTCCCTCAATAAAGCAATGACCGCAAATCAAAACCAGCCTCAATCAAGGAGCTTGTTTTTGGGGGCTGAAATGTGGTACTTCTCTCCCCAGGACATCTCCATAGCCAATGGCAATACAAATTCAGGAGCTTGCCCATAGGCTCTGGCATTCGGAGCAGAGTTGGATGTTAGAAGCTTTCCGAGGACGTTAAGCACTTCCTCAAACCCCAGCCTTTTCAGAAATTGTAGTAAAGCTCTTTGCCATTCCTTCTGAACACAGCTGCTGCTTAGGTGGAGAATTAATTTTGAAAAGCCATGTCACGGGGCAGTCAGCAAACTGCGTGGCACAAAGGCACAGAAAGGGCAGAGAACGGGCAGAGAGCACAGGAGAGGAGCTGGTTGTGGTGGGGAACTGGGAGACCTCAGTTAGGAAATTAAAAAACCCAAACAACCAAACAAACCGTAACGTAACCAAGAAGTCCAAAAGGGAAGAACCAAGAACCAAAAAAAAGAAATGCTTTTTATGAAAGAGTAACACTCACTCTTACAATGCTCATCAATAAACCCTCTGCCTTCCTCCCAAGCACTCTCTCTTCCCTGTACTGTCCTATTGGAAAAAGCAGACGCACACATCACTGTTTACAATGCGTTTGATAGGACAACCACTTTATTACAAAGAACAAACAACGCTTTGAAATAAGACCAATCAACTTTAATTGTACAAAATGTCAGTTTCCTTGTAGAGGTCATTAAGTAACAGGCTGTAAGACTAAGTTCACGTCAAATTCGCTATCCTGAAATATCAGATAACAACAGTAATACTTATTTTATATTCAGAGTTTATGGCATGATCGTGTGCTCTACTCCAAACTACATTCAAAAGATATTGCTATAATTACTTTGAAAACACAAAGTGTAGGTTCTCGTTCACTTTATTCCCACTTTCACAAGAACATTCCAACGGTGAAGTTGTAGCGGCGCCTGCCGTACCTGGCACAACATCCCTCATGAACTGAGTAATCCTAGACATCCCTACAACACGGGCACTGCTGCCCGACAGATTTCAGCTTCTTACACCTTGTTTAGTGACTCGTGAAACAAATGGATAACACAGATCCCCAAGGAGTCGACGTCAAGAGTGTTCTTTAAATTAATTCCAAATTGAACAATCAGTATTTGCCTGGTATCTAGTTAGCAGGCAAACGGGTGGGATTCAGACATGTTAGAAACACAATCTTAAAAACAGACCACCAAGTGTATTTTACAGCATGTACCACAATTGCATTTGAAAGTAAAACCGTAAGGAACTGGATTTGCATATGGTCACTATCCAACATCACCCAGCTCGGACAAAGAAGAGAAAGTGACATTTCATGTCGAGTCAGCTGGAGAAAGCACACTTACAAGGAAATCATACTTTCATTGAAAACGCCACAGCTGTACCCTGTGGTAGTTGTGACACACCCACTGAAAAACAAATTGTGCAAAGCATGTGAAACCAAGTGCAAAAAAACTCCACCCAGACATAACCCAACAGATTTTATTCTTAAATAACAACTCTACGATCACAGCTATCAACCAACAAAACCAAAGCCACAAGTGTTTTCTCTAAAGGCTTCTTTCACAGTACTAATAAGGAAAACCAAGTTATATTTTCTCTAGTTAACAGCTCATGTACAGTAAAATTTCAATTATCAGACAGTATTGGTGGTGAGATCATACCTGATGAAATGGATCATTAAAACACAAGTATTTTAAAGCCAGTTAACGCCTGGAAAAATCCTATACATTCATACTATAAACACTGTTTAAAGTGAGTCTGGGATATCTGCCATTGTCATAATCACAAGATTTTTCTCTGGAGTAAGACCATGTGTTACTCCTGTGCCACAATTAACACTATTACAGCAATTAATGGTCCCCAGCACTTTTTATACGCTACTATAGCTTGTGATGTGTTGCGATAATTAAGGCTGTATCAGCACTTCTGTTACAACCCTGACTTGCAGGGTAGCTCAAACTTGGCTATAAAATCTGCTCAGCATGTGAGCTGTTACACCTCTCACGCCGCAGCAATACTTCTCCCACCAAACCAGGCACATCATTTGTTTTGTTTTGTTTTTTTTAGTTGAGTTATTTACAAATGCTCTTAAGACAAATTTAACTGACAGAGGCAAGCAATCCTACCTTGATGTGTAATATTTTGGCATTCAGGGCAAAATTAAAGTGCAAAGTATAAACTTCATTGCACAGGTAAGTAATTTAGATTTTATTTTAAAATAAATCTCATTTAGGTGCCTCCATCTACTCACCTAATGACCTTGTCCGACTCAGCCATTTTCCTCTACACTTTGGTAAACATAGGTTTATATATAGATACATAAATAGCATTTAAAATGTTTACCTTTATTTCACTACTGTGAACACTTTTTTTTTCCCATTTAGCGTAGGAATGGATCAACCTATTCCTAGAAGTAATGCTTGTTGAACTTATCAGCTAGCTAGTTAATGTAAAATGATGCATAGTAAAAGGAGATACGGAACTTGATTGGTAGAATATACTGGTAAAGCAAACAAGCACTTAAGAAGATTAACTGGAATAAATATGTTGATAGTTGCCATACAGTATGTGCAAAATTGCTTACCATGTATTCTAAACTTTGGTTAAAATTTTCAGATTGAAGTTGTACAGAAACATGATGGAAGCAACACAAGTGATTACAAACACAGAAATGAGGTAAGTTATTATTAGTGCAAAAAGCAAGCATATGCTAAAAGCAAAGCATATGGGTTTAAAATAAAAAAAAAGAGAATGAATCTCGTGGAAGTTTTAATACAAGACCACAAAGGTCTCTTGTAAACATTGGTATTTACAAGCTGAAGATTTGTACAACTACAAAAGGACCATTCTAAATATTAGTAGTGCATTTACAATGAATTTACATTTCTTTTTTTTTTTTTGTAATGAGAGAAATGATGGAGTTTATCTTTTTCCTTTTAAATTTTCAGGGGAATATCTTTCAGAATTATATTTGTTACAAAGAGTAAAAAAATCATTTTTGTTTTTGTCCTCTTTCTTTTTTTTTTTTTTTTTTTTTTTTTTTTTTTACAAAAAAGTATATATTAAAATATTTATGTTTTAAGTTACTATATAATAACTGAAAATTCTGCCTTGTACTCAGACACCACAAGGAAGAATTTGGTGTAAGACACTGAAACCAAACAGAATTCTCTCACATACCAAATCTTCCTGAATTGTCTATGCAAGATCTGTGGCAATCATGGGGAACTCTACCTCAAATACTACTGCCAATTTATTTTTTTTAATTTGAAAACTGATATATTTAATGACATTTTAATTATCACTACAAAAAAGAGCTGCTGGATAGAGTATGGTCCTCCACTCCAGCATCTTCAGTATCATTCCTATCTGGTACTCAGACCTGAGCAAGGCTATATAACGCCGATGTCTCAAACGTAAAAAAGGTTATATACTTTTAAGATAAAAACAATGCAAAAATAAAATATTTGTAGCATTTACAAATAGTACAGGAGTTACATTAAACACTACATTCGAAACTTGAAATGCGTTACGCTGCCTCTACTTTGAGCTTGATGTTTTCATATCTGCAAAAAGAAGGAGACACTGTTAGTCATTTCATAATTTCACATAGCGTGTGAGGTCAAACACCATCAAAACAACTCCTGCACAGTTCTGGGATGCAGATCATGGCCCAAACCCTTACCACATAAAAGGTTAACACTGTCCTGGAATCTTAAACTCGAGACAATTCTTCAAGGCCAGGCTGGATGTGGCTCTGAGCAGCCTGGTCTGGTGGCTGGTGACCCCGCACATAGCAGGGGGTTGAAACTAGGTGATCATTGTGTTCCTTTTTAGCCCAGGCCATTCTATGATTCTATTGTTGCTCTCCATCTCAGAAATTACATGTTCCAAACAAACACTGAGGCAACCAAAGCACGCTGTCAGCTACACCCTGCACATCACAGCAAGTGGACTGGCAGGACAGCTAAACACCAAGCAATAGCTCAGTGCAAACAAAGGGGGTAAAAACCAGAGCTCCCCCTGGTTCTTCCCTTCCTAACCTCCCTCCATGCTCACAACACCTCCTGCTGAGCCACGTCAACTCGCAGCTAGCAGAAAGCTAAGGCAGAAAGTGAAAGGTTATTTTGCAAAACTGAAAAAATACAATCAATTGATGGCACCAAGAACTGCCTAGATGACAAAATGGAAACTGTGACTGAAGAATCACTTAAACCCCGCCTGTGCTTCTAGATTATATGCTGCCATTAGGAGCCACAGTCCCTCTCTCAGCAGTCACTTGTGCTTTTGTGTTGGTGCTAGCATTTATGCAGCTGCACAGATGGACACAAGGGAACTGAACAGGCTGAAAATGAAGCCTAGTTTCCAGTCGGTCTGTTCCCATTCCCAACTAATCATAAGCCCATACAAATTCAAGTGCAGAAATGAGACGATAAAGCCTATTCTGAGTAACTGTAATACAGACTTCAAAAAGCGTATCAATCACAAACATACACCTTATGTCACTTCATGAAAAAATACTCTGATACGGAAGGGAAAAAGGTTGAAAAAAAAAACAAACTTGATTACATCCATGCATGGAACTGGATTCTTTTTATAATGAAATTTTGCTAAGCTGAAGACCAGGGAAATCAGGAAGCTTACTAAGATTTCATTATTCGAGGGACGAAGTAAGCTTCCATAACCAGCATTCACTACTTGCCTGTGGACGAATATCACTGTGTTTAATACAATGCTAAATTGAACAACTGCGTTTTCTTAAAACTTCTATAAAGAACAAACTGATATTTCACTGCTGTGCAAAGCACCGTGCTGAGCAAAGGGTCGTTTCTAGAGCCATGACCAGCTCTGCCACAGCTAGGGCCCACTCGCACGCTGCACTGACCCCAACATTACCTTGAAGCCATCGAACTTGTGTGGCCGGTCCATAGCCCCTCTCGTTCTTTGCAGAAATCCTGAACACTATTGCAGGTCGGGAAGTGTAATCCACGTGAGCGTTTGAAAGCTGGGCAGCAGTCACTACACAAGATGTCTTGAGGCCACAATATATTCTCATAAATACAAGCTGATTCGGGTTTTCCTGCAACTGTGTGGAACGTATTGCTAAGTAGGCAGAATATTCTAAAATATTGCCAGAAGGTGAAGCAGGAGGCTCCCAAGAAAGATGAATGCAGTCTACACTCTGGAAAAAACAGAGAAAATAGGATACTATGCGGTTAATCATCAGATATTCAACTAAGCATATAATTTATAAAAACATCTTTATAATATATTTACTACACACACACATATATGCATACATATACACACACATCTCTAAGGAGCATCTTAAAATTCCAACCTATTCTGTCACTGTTCCTGCATTCAAGAAGCAACAATTTCTTTCTACTGATACTTGTGCAGAGACAACACAAATGCTAAAGGGTATTTTGGAAAACAAGAATACTCATTTTCTGATTCACACAGGAGGAATACAAACCAATGGCACTACATTTCCAAAGTACAGCCTTTCTTGTCATTGTAGATGTACTGAGTTGTCACTAGTACAGAAGGATGGCAGGTGATGCGAAACCAAACAATAAAACTCATCTACCATTAAAACAAATTACAAATCCCAGAAAACAAAGGAAGAAAAACCTCCCCAAATACTTTTAAAGTGGACTTTGTGGGGGCAGAGGTTTATAAAAGACATCTGACTTGAAAGTTAGCAGAATAAGAGATAAAAATGCATTTTAGTGTGTCGATTCATGTCACCCAGGAGTGGCCTCTAATTTTGGCAAAATCACACTGTTTTATGCCAAAAGATCATCCTTGGGAGGTAATAACCTATCTTTTGACACTTCTTTTTTATTAACACATTAGACTCCTACAAAATTAAGAGTGCAAGAAAAGAAAATAATGGAAAAATTATCAGATGATTAAGATGCCTCTTGCAACATGATCATTAAGGCTTAAAATATTTTCATTTTAGCAGTTTCTTCAAGCATATCACATTGGGCAGAATTCACCAATGAAGAATTTGTCACTATTTAATATGACAACTTTCAATTAAAAATAAATAGATAGATAGATAGATAGATAGATAAATAACAACACAGCAATTATCTGCATTTCTCACCTTAGTGATTTTGACTGTTGAAGGAGCTCCAGGAAAACCTGGAATGCATGTCTTGAATTCACTCACTTTACTGAAAGGCCCAACACCACAGCCATTAATTGCAGCAACTCTAAACCTGTACACTGTGCCCGGAAAAAGATCCTGCTTCTTAAGTAACCTGTAGTCTGGTACGTCTGCATCTTCCTTCTGAAAATACAGCAACACCAGAATACTTTGAAAAGCATTCTAAACACAATTACCTAAAAAAATGTACAGTGGTAGCAAGAAACCAAGGTAAGTTTAACTGAAATAAAAAAACTGATTTAACATTTTTGTACTTTCATTGGGATTTATAGAAGGATTCTGACTGAAGCACACTGCACACCCACACATCTGCACACTCATTTAAACTCAACAGTATCTCTGGCTTAGTTTAACTTGGGAAAGTAAAAGCAAAGTAGTGTCTCCAGTTGTATAGCTTATGATTTAATTAGTATACTCCCCTATCCTCAAAAATATTTTTCTTCCAAGAACACTCATTCCAATAACTAGAAGGTACCATTTTATGAAACGGTAATCACAATGTTCCTAAAGAAAAGCACAGTTAGTAACAAGTAAGTTAGGGTCCCAGAAATGATCAGAGGGCTGGAGCGCCTCTCCTGTGAAGGCAGGCTGAAGGAGCTGGGATTGTTCAGCCTGGAGAAGAGAAGGGTGTGGGGAGATCTCATTGTGGCCTTCCAATATCTAAAGGGAATTTATAAACATGAGGGAGATCAACTTTTTATACAGGTATATAAAGACAGGACAAGGGGGAATGATTTTAATCTAAAGGAAGGGAGACTTAGATTAGACACCAGGGGAAGTTTTTACTGAGAGAGCAATGAGGCACTACTACAGGCTGCCCAGGGAAGCTGTGGATGCCCCACACCTGGAGGCTCAAGGCCAGGCTGGATGGGACCCTGGGCAACCTGATCTAGTGGCTGACAGTCCTGCCTGTGGCAGGGGGGTTGGAACCTGATGATCCTTGAGGTTCCTTCCAACCCAAGCCATTCTACGATTCTGACATGTTATGTACTAATGTATTTCCATGCTTACCATGTGCACTGATACATCCTTGAACCAACCTATTCAAAACTATTTTCCTTGCAAATAATGTGCAAGCAATCACAATCTATACAAACTGCTGTAAAAGACAGTATGTTGAATACATTCAGCAACTAACAAACAATTTTACACTATGAATCCTGCAAATACATTCTAGAAAGATATAGGTACCTTACATAACAGGACAGCACAGTCAGTATTCGCAGAAGCAGAGAGAAATGTGCTCAGATTGCCCATTTACACATACATACATAGCAAAGATCAAAACCCTCTGTGGGTTTTATTTTCCTCATATGCTCCATCTACAAGCAGCAGACCTAAGCTGTTCAGATAAAGCAGAGACCTGCTCTGGTAAAAGGAAAGCATGGCTAAATACTTGGCCATTTGGTGACGGCCAGATCACATGCAAGTAAGTGTTAGGTGTGTGTAAGTGAACACTGATTTCTGAGTTTGAAATCAACTCAGACATCTTTTCAAGAGGAACCACCTCCTGACTGTAGGCACTTCTGGCCATTTAGCTGACACAGTAATTAGTTTTGTTTCTAGTCCACTTAGTCATCATTAAATTATACTTTCACCACCAAAACTACAAATGTTTCGCAAGTTACACATATTTAGTATGTTAATATACAAACTTCTATGCTTAACAACATAAACTTACAGAAATCAAATACAAAACTCACTACACCTCCACATCTGATCTTTTTAAACATCCTACACTAGGTGTTATTAGCATTTTTAAAAGTTTCTAAGTGAAGATCCTTGAGACAGAGAAGAAATGACTAGAAATGCTCTAGTGAAATCACAGACTGCAAAGTGCTGAACCATTCAGTTTCCAGGGACTTGAAAGTTTACCAAGTTGAAAGTTCCCTCCTAAGGGAACTATTTGTAGAACAGACAGATGGAAAGAATTAGCAACAGCACAATAAGATGTTCCATATAATTAGGAGAAAGCAACAGAAGATGTGTTTGGTTTAGGAAAAAAGTAGGCCAAATACACCAGGAACTACATGGTAATAAAATACGACCTATAATGACCCATTTGTGCTGCAGTATCAGAAAATCACACATTTTGTCGTCAAGCATATGAGCGCCATATTTGAGAATGCACAAGTGCAAACTACATCAGAGGAAAATTAGCAGTTACCTTGTTAGAGGCATTCAGAGTTTCCTCAGGCAGCAAGTAGAACTGGCTCACCACAGCACTGCTGTTCTTAAAAATTCCAACATCATACCACTGCCGTTCCCTTGACTTCACCGGTGCCATCTGTCTTTGTGGAGTTCTCTAGTATTTGAAGAATAGGTTATGTAGACCATCCATACTTCAATATCGCATTAAAAGAACATTTCAAGATTCTAGAATATGTAGAATTCCCTTCCATACCAGTGAGTAACTCTGTATACTTCAAACGAATATGCATTTATTATTAATACGTTGTTCAAAACCAGCAGGTTCTCAGAAATTTAGGAACAGATCATCACTTAAAAAAATAAGAGTAACTGCAGCTGGGATGTCATCTCTGACATCCTAGTTGAAGCAGGGAGGGGAAGAAGCTTACAGCTGTAGAACTAGGTGTGTGGAGCAGCATGTAATCACTCACAAGCTCAGCGATTAACAAAAGTGTGACGTGGTCGTACATCAGCAGCTCTGCCTGGGTTTCTGCTGCACTTCAGCCCCAACTCCCTGCAGCAAGCAACTGCTAAACTTGCAGCTCAGAGCAGAATCGCTGCTGTGTCATGGCACAGTGGTTGTAGAAGGCATGGGAACTGTGTGGATTGACCCAGAAAGACAAGCTATCTTTCTTGTTTGACTCCAGGCACCAAGAAGAGCACCTGCATGGCCAGGCCAATCCAGCACAGACAGATGGTGTTCCTGCTAGAGTGGAAAAGGGGCAGAAGTGTCAGCTGCTATTGGCAAAAGCAACCCAACTCGTAATTAGCTGCTGCTTCTTCCCATCCTTAGCTCCATTCTTTTGGTGGCAAAAACTGCACCTTGGTTTTGTGTATTAAGATGTAAGCAGGTGAAATAGGAGGCATTTACTTTTTTCAGGAAGTATTTACAGCTTGCATAGTCAGTCCCCATCTCTTCTAGGGAAAAACATCAAGATGTCAGTTCAGTTACGTTTCAAACCTACACATCAGCAGCAAACACTACACCTGATTTAATGCATATCTCATTTTAAATTCAGTTGTGCAGACAGAAGAACATTCCACATTTGCACATCATGCAGCAGAAAGCCCACTCCACTGCGCCAGTCGATTCAAATGATTCAACAGCTGAAACACATTCTTGGATCTCCTCCCAACTAAACAACTGCTTCTTAGACTCAAATCTAACCCGCACAACGTAATTAGTTTTACAACAGAAAATTTTTACCCCTGTATTATTCACTTCCAGCTCTTTTTTTCTCTGTCAAAGAGGCACGGTTGAAGAAAAACAGAAGAACCCTTACAACTAATCAACAGAATACAATTTGATTTTGCTTTTGCAGACTTACAGAGGAATGTGAATCATTTGCCTGTCCAGTATTGACCTTTGTTGAAGGCATGAAATAAGCAGTTTCAGCAGCTAGAAACAAAAAGTTACATTGAAAAAGCTTAACTCTAAGAAAAATTTAACACGAAGTCCACAGAGTTGACCTCAGCAGCCATTTACAAGCGTTTGCTGCAAAAGCATGTCTCAAAGTTCTTTTGCATGCAGTTCTATTTATAACACGGACAACTAATTTTGGCTTGCTTCATATTCACAGAAGCTGACACCACAGATAACTGCAGATAACAGAACTTGGAAGGCAGGTCTCAGAAATTCTATCCTTAGGTGTGACACAATTATGAAATCAATAGAGAATATTGCAGACAATCAAAGTATCAGATCGAGGCATATAGGCTGCTCATACAAGTGTCATCACTAAGCCTAAAATCTTACTGCACTGTTTCTGACATAAAGAATTCAGACTGCAATAATAAGAGCAATTAATCTTTTAGCAATCCTAAGAAATGGGAAAATAATGCTTCCTAAAAATAAATCAAAGCACATGAACAATACAAGGGAATATCAGTACTCTATTCTTGTGTTTGTGTTTTGCTTTTAAAGAACAATACTGTCCAGTAAAAAGTACACTACTCAGTGCCAATAAAGAATACCACTCTTTAGCTAACACTCAAAAAGCAGCAAGCACATCCTGGTGATTTCCAAGAAAAACAAGATGTGAAGAACTACCCATATGTTTAGCTTCTGTACTGATGCTTGTTTTGGATATTTCAAACAGACTGTAGAGAGGTCGCCACGTCTGCCTAGTGGTGAGCCAGCCACGTGAGCTGCCATGCTCATTACAGAGGTCAGTTATTTAAAATGAAGAAAATCCGAGGTTACAAACAATAGACTTCTGCTGACTAAAAAAAGCAATCGCCAGATGAAAGCAAATGTCTCACAGGCAACAAAACTGCCCACCATGGCTATTTATAAAACAGGCATCTGCATAAAGATTTGAAAGACTTCTCACTTACAGAAAACCAAGCAGCTTACTAAAGTATAAGAATATCCTGATTTTAGAGGTATGTAAATCATAGCAGAGATCATTCAGGCTGCCTGAGGTCCTCCATAGCCCAAAGCCCTATCTCTAACCCAGGTACTAAGTCAAGATGGGAATCCCACCACACCACAGGAACTCTGATGGCCTTAGATACATATGGCTCAAAATACAGTATGTGAAACACATTTCAAACCTTCAGATTTTGAATTGAATGTTGTTAGTGAAGTTTCATCTTTAACAACTGCCCCATTTGTACTTGATGATTCAGTTTTAACAGCCTGCTGGGTTACCATAGTTTGTGTGCTGGAGACAGTACTGGATACAGAAGCATCAGGAATTACAGTTCGTTTGTCCAAGTCATGTAATTCACCTACATTTGCTGAAGTCTGAGGACCTTAGAAAAAGAAAATATTAACCAGAATTCAATACTGATGATACCCAACATGCACCTCAACTTAATCTAATGGCTTTAGTTTCACATAAAAACAGAGATTTAGATTAGATCTGATTATGAAATCAATAAGGAATACTGTGAACAAATAAAGCAAATGCTTTATGTGTATAGCTGAGTAAGACCCTGTCTGCACAGTCGTAACCAAATATATGTACACAGTTGTACTAAAACTGCAATTTCATTTGTGTTGGATGTATTTCATACCCATTAGGTGATGAAATAATTCATTTGGGAAAAAAAAGAAACACCCACACAAATGATCATCAGAGTTTCATAACAAACAACTTCATCGCCAACAGTGCAAGTCTCTTTCTCACTCAGTACTAAGACCCAAAATTTGCAGGCAATACTTAAATTAAACTGAGGATAATAAAAATGGTCACGCCATCTAAATTACATAAACATCAAATATAAACAGATCGTGTGCTTGGGCCTGGATTCACCCCACTGAACATCTCATTTCTCCTCATACCTTCTAGAAATATGCACAGTATTAGCTAGCACAAGGAATTTTATAAACCACAAGGACATGTAAATTAATTTTAAATTGCAAGACAAATAATCTTACATTATGCTTATTAGATGAATTTAACACTTGCTTTTTTATTAGTTTTTACTCTATAGATATCTTACTTGAAGTACAAACAGGCAAAAGAGAAGGGGCATTTGATTCCTTGAACGCTGTCGTGTCTGCACGGTTTTTCATGGTCTCCTGTGTAATCTTGTTTTCGGGTGCTGCAACCTTCTCTTTTCCTTCTATTTTTAAGAGCGAGTTGGATGAAAGGCAAAGTTGGACCTACCAGAACAATACATCGGTTAATGTGTAACTGCCAAGTTCAGAGCTGTCAGTTGCAAACATGGCATGAAAAGGCTTGCTCAAAAGCAACAAATGAAAATCCTCTAATACCCTTAGCGTTTTAAATTGAAACAATCAAGCAACCTAAGAATCCACATTTGTTTAGCCACATAAAACAAGGACTCAAGCTCTAAACTGACTTAAAAGTACCCCTAGCCCATACTACATTTTATCTGAGCAAGTTCAAATTCTTATTATGTGGAAGTGCACTGATGCATACATTTTGTCTACGAGGCAGATGAGAAATGGGGACTGGGATACAGCAAAATGACAATCAGAAAAACTTTCACCCATTGCTCTTCTGGTACATATCTAAGATTTCTATTGTTAGCAAAATTCACGATACTTCTACATTCATTTTCTGTAAGAGTATATTATGGATTCCATACAGATCTGAGGGTTTACCCAGCTAAGAAAAGACCTACATTTCTAAAACTGTGAACCTCCCGCCAGAGATTTTCCTCTTTCTTTCAAATTGCCAAAACAGTGGAATATCTAAAACAGCATGAAAACCCTAACAAAGAAGAAACATGCATTATCCTTCCTGCTTCCCATGTTAATTTCACGAACATTCTGAGGATGTAGAATATCTCTACTGTTACAAGATTCCCAGTTAGCACCCTGGAAGTCAATACAGTCACAATATCCTTTACACATTACCACAAAGAGGACTTTTAAGACTGCATCAATCATGAAAATTAGATGAATATAAGGAAGTAAACAAGCACTTCAGGTGTCTTCTCTGTTGTTCGATTTGGGGGTTTTCTAAGGTTTAAATGTATGCAGGGATTTTAAAAACTGAGAAATTATTTGGCAGTTCTCTCACTTCCCACACTACTTTGCCACCTTGCTGTTTGTCAGTTTACACTTACGTTATTAGGAATGACATTATTTGCTTGGCTGGGATGATCCACCTTCATTTCTGGGCAGGGGACACTGGGCAACGATTGTGGACTTTGATGTAGAGAAGAGCCACCTTTCAGGTAAACAAAAGCAAATTGCAATCAGTTACACAAAGCTTAGTATTACGTTGGGTGGAATCCATTCCAGTAAGCAAGAGGGAAACATGAAGTTGCCTGAAGGACAATTCAGCTGTTAAACTGAAATGAAACTGTGTGGCCAAACAGTCAGTTATAATCCCTTCCTCACTGCGTGCTCTCAAACAACCCAACACTGCACAGATATCTTCAGCATTCAGACTGCTGACCAGAACAGACAGAGAGACATTAAAGCTGAGTTTTTTACAACTATGACATATGTATTTCTGGAACAGTCAAAGAAAATAGAGTCTCTCAAAATTATCTTATTTTTTAAAACAAACTCGTATTCATTACTTACACAAATATCTACTCTGCCTTTGCACAAGCAATAGCATGAAGTGATGTGATGACTACCTTGTGAACTCAGCACCGATGTCTCAGGAACCCCAGTGCCAGGTGTTCCAGCTGCTGATGGCACCGGTGAGTCAGCATGTAATTGAAGAAGATATCCTTCAACAGTGGGTACTTCATCCCATTTCACTTGGAAGGAGTTGGTTGTAGCTCTAATCAGCTGGACCTGTGAGGGGGCTGGAGGTTTCTCTACAAGAAACCAGAAAGACACAGGTGCCAGGTTTGAAATGGCTCTCTTCTAACAGTTTAAGAAATATCTGTGTAATGCTAGCAAAATCAACAGTTCCCTTTTCACATAAGTACAATATATACCAAAATAAGCAGGAGATAATGTCAAAAGTGCCAAATCAAGCAAAAAATTGCAAATTGCCATTCTAGAGCATTCAGAATTAACAACATTTTTATGCCTTTTCTTAGGGTTTTGACAGCTTCGTGGTTTTCTGCTGCTGCTATGCCTTTGGGTTGTGTAGGCATCACCATAGACATTACACACATAAGAGATCCTCGTCTTCTCCCAGAAGACTGGACACAGCTCTGACTCCTAACGCTTTACACATTCCTGGAAAGAATTCACAGAACACTGCACTTCCTTTCTGCTTGCTCTTTATAGCTGAAGTGAACTTTCCCTCAAAAGCTTGTGCAGGCTGAAGCCCAGGCATGACTCAACGCCAACAACCTGCTCCCCTCGCTTGCCCTGATGCCTGACTAGGATGCACTCTTCCCTTACTGCTCCTTTTTACAATCTCCAATAACTCACACTTCTGCTTGAGTAGACAGGAACTTCCACTTGAAAGTACTATTCAAGTCCCTCACTCCCAGTACTATCTCAAGGTCCTGCTATCAAATAAATATCCATCATTTCAGCTACTAATGTGCAATCAGTGCTCCAAAAATTCCTTCAACCGCAGAACAATTTGGTCCTTTCTCTGTATCTTTTAGCTGTCCAGAACATGAGGAAGCAGCAGCAGCAGCAGCAGCAATGATCCCATGAGAAGGAGGAGTTTGGTAATAAAAAAAAAAGAAAAAAAAGTAGCAACAACAGAAAAGATCACTCTCAGAAGAAACGTAAGGAACTTAGACTTCAGGTAAAACATCCATGAGAATCTTGTATCTATCAGCTATGGCATGCAATACAGAATCTAGCCACGTTCTTTCATGGGCTTTAAACACAACTTTTTATTACTTTTTTTTTTTTTTTTTTTTTTTTTTTCAGATGGAGCTACAGCTGTAGCCTTCAAACTGACTGCCAAGTACGTACGGTTCACGGGAATAAGCTTTAAAATTTAAAACACCTTTGTGTTTGCTACAGCTTCAGAGCTTCTGATCACGGCAGCTTCCTACACATTAATAAAACACAGAGCACAGAACAATTCCTTTATTTATCTCTGACTCACCAGTATCAAGGTACCAAAGATCTTTGCAGCAAACTTGATTGTTCCAAGCTTTTCTGTAACCATCTCTACCACTCCAGATATACAGACGAGTGCCAACTGCTACAGCACAGTGTCCTGCTCTTGGCCCTGGTAACAAGTTACTTTTGTCTTCGTGGCAATCTGAGATCAGGCCTATCCATTCTGTGGTATCTAGCAAACGAAACTCGGAAAATTTAGTTTCTAGTTGTTTTTTCAAAACTAGCAATACATATGTTAATACATGCAACTGCTCAGAGAAAATACATAGAGAGGATACATAACTCTGTTTTTACAATGACTACATTTGCATTCTCAATACTACAACATGAAGGTCACTTTCCAGTTAATTTGCAGGCTACGTTCAACTAATATAGGATCAATTTTCAAACACAACATCAGGGACAGTTCTGTTGCAATTCAGGAAAAACTCATGTCAGGATCTGTCTCTTAAGTCCCACTCCAAATGGAGAAGTACTATCTATATTACCTAGTACTAAAGATGCACGAACAAAGATCTGCATCAGCAAATCTGCTGAATGTTCCAAAGGAAATAAAAACTTCTTAAGAAAGTTGAAGAAAAGGATTGTATCTTTATCTGTATCTTGTCAGCTGGGTTTGCAGCTGTACGTCTTCAAACTTTTCTCAGTGTCTTCAGAATGTTTATTCTGCTCTGTTAGGAAAGTATTAATTCAAAATGCCCACTCCCAGAAAGGCAGAAACACTAACCCAAATTAAGATAAGCAAATGAACCAGTACACTTCCATTCACCATCATGAGTAGAAATTTCTCCTCCTGCTGACTGTGGAACCCATCCACCAAAAATATACATTCTGAAATGAAAGAACAGAGGGAAGAGGGAAAAAGAAAAGAAAAGCCAATTAACATTTCAAGACCTGCTGCACGTGCTCTCTCAATCTAGGACAAAACAGAAAATTTCCAGTGCTTTTACAGTTTCTTTACATCAGATTGTATGGGAGTCTTGTTGCAGACATCTACCTTTTGAAATTTTTGAGTAAGTTAACTGATTGAAAATAGAACAGCTAAACAACAAACTCAAACAACTTCCCAGATACAGAAGTTATTACTTCATTTTTTCACAAACAACTAAACTGCTGGGACTCTCCAAAAATCATGCATTTACATGGAATTTCTACACTTTCATTGTAGATCTTTCAGTAAATAATTCTATAGTTAGAAGGCATATCTAAGTCAGGCATCGAAACTTCAAAGCACAATGCAGGCTACAACCTAATAAAACTTCATGTATTTAAAAAAAAAAAAAAAAAAAGCTAAGCTCTTGACTCAGAAAACACAAAGCTTTTTTCACCTTTTTCCCATCTGTTGCCTCTTTCTCCTCACCTTGGCTTGTAAACTGATACAAAATGGACTGAAATGCACATTTAAAAGTCCATTTTGTCGGTTCTATCTGACAAAACAAGTCATACTGACTTGTGAAATAATGAAGAACAGACCACAGAAAAACTGGTCCACAAAAAATACAGAATGATTTTGCCTAGAACTAATTCTACTATTTGGGCCAGTTAATTTGTGGAGGTATCTCCTTGTCACAGATGGACAGGCACTGAAGTTGGCTCCTGAGAGAGCCAGCTCAGGTCCAGCTGATTCTGCCACAGAATGCACAGAGATGCATCGAGAAGCTTGGAAAAATGCCTGTGGGTTGAGCAGACCATCCTGCTGTATGGAAACACCAACAGTTTGATAACTCTAAATTAAAAATAATACTTCTAAATTTCCACTGAGGTAGAGGAACAGAAGCAGAGAAGCACTCTACAGGGCTGACGGTTTATACTGAGCAGTAGTGGATAAGCATCGCCATTCTCCTACTAGGTGTACCTTTCTATAGTTGAGCTTTTAACAACAGACATACTTGTTTCCTATTACATTGGCCGTATGCAGACTGCGAGGAAGTGGTACTGTCCCTTTAGTTTCTGGTCTTGACCAGGTCATGGTTTCTAAAAGAAAAAGAATAAAAATCCTCAAATAACTTACTGTTGTGTATTATACTACCTCGGGTTTAGGTGGGGACATGCCTCTAGAATTCAACAAAACAAAATTTCACCTTTTAAGGTGGCCAATTTAGAAAAGAAAGTGCAATAACATGCACTTAGAGCTTCTTTCAAAAAAAAAAATCATACAAAATTCTCAACAACTGTTTTTCAAAAGGATATATTAAACCCACTTTCTTTATGATTATTCAACACAGTTACCACAGCGAGAGTCTTTAAAGCAATCTCAGACGACAATCTCACAGCATAACCCACATCAGAGAGGATAATAAATGCAAACAATGCTGTATCTGTCTCATTTCAAAAATTACAAAAGGTCTCAATTCTCAATTGTACCACGGAATGCCATTAATCCTCACATACATTAATTTCATCATTGCCAGCGAGGTCCTTGCACTTGTACTGGCAAACAAACTCACCTATGTCAAGTTCCCAGAGATCGTTGAGCCGACAGCCACACATCCCTCCGAAAATATACATCTTTGGAACTCCCAAATCTTTTCTGCAGTACACAATGGCCGTGTGTGATTCTCGGGGAGATGGCAAGATCCCTTTTGTCACAGGAATACTCCAGCCAACAACCCCAGATCCGTGCTGCAGCTCCAGCTCGTAGAAATCGTTTAAATATCTGGAGAATTATCGAGGAAGCATGAAAAGCATGCTTATTAACAAGATCGTAAGTGAGCTTTAAACCCCTACTGCTTCCATGTATTATGACTTCTGCCTTGAAAGAGTGAGAAAATTTTAAAATCCCAGAACATCTGATGGATTAAGGCAGCACCTAAACAGAACTAATTTAGAACATAAAATGAACTATGGTAGCTTCTTGCCTCTAAGATAGTTGTCTTTCATATCGCAATTCATGCACTACGGTTCATCAAATAAACATTCCAAACCAGCAAACAACATTCTCAGCTGAAATTACTGCGTGTGGAGAAACTTGGAACAAACTGCAGAGCTGTAAGAAACGCACACAGGATGTCCAAGAACTCCTGCAACTTTAAGGCAACAAAGGTGAAAAGAAGCTGCTTCTTTTCTGACGTGTTCAGGCTGCCCAACAGACAATTAGCCACGTGCTGATGTTGGTAAGTTATTTTTAGGTAACTTTTGAATCTTGGCACTCACTCCGGGTACCTCTTGTTTAATGAGTTTCAAATTGCTCTGTGGATATAAGCACTCTCAACTGTAGGTCAACACCGTATTAAATTTCAGTGCCATAGAACTTTTTTACTGATAATAAGGGCAACTCCAGCTGTTACTCTGAAAAGATTGTAACTATCTTCCACAGTATTATAGGTGACAATTCCATTGTGAATTCCCTGATGACCCATGAGACTTCGCGTATTTAATTCTAACTAACAAGAATTCTTAAAAATATCAGCCAGGGAAAGTACCAAAATCTACTCAGGTTTCTCTCAAAAAAAGTCAGAGCTTTCACTCCATGCAGTTCAGTGTGATAAGCAGAAGGAACATCTAAGCTTCTTAGCACACAATTCATTCACCTTACAATCAGTGCATCATGCAGGACAGTCTGCCTAGAACGTTCCTCTTCAAAGTTATTGCATCTAGTCTTTTTTTGTTGAGTCACTGAAATCAATCCAAACTAGCATACCTGGGAACATTATTGTTTGAATCCTCACTTTCATTTGCGAGGCCACCAAATAAGTAGCACTTGTTACCATACAAAGAAAAGCTGTGGCCAAGTCGAGGACAAGGCGGAGATCCAGTGGAAGGAGCTTGAGGTTTTACTTTCTTCCAGAGCCATCGACTTGCCTTAAACACAAGAAATGCAAAATCAGAAATACCTTCATTCGTATCGCTAAAAAATGTGATTATTCCTCAGTAGATAAATGAAGTACTCCACAACATTGGAACATTTTCAAACATCTCCTACCTGTAATTCATATAAATCGTTACTGTATCTTCCATATTCAACCATTCCTCCAAAGACTAGTATTCTGGTACCATCACAAACAAATCCATGTGCTGCACAGCCTGGAGGAATATCTCCCCTTACAGCAGGAAGGAACCACTGATTTGTAGCTACAGTTAAAAAAAAAAAAAAAAAAAAAAAA